AGAAGCTGGGCTTGGCAGCTGCTGTGGACCAAAGCCCATGGAGCCATCCTGCCCTCCCCCTGCAGTTTCTCTTGATTCCTGTGGACTCCTCCACCTTAGTCTCTCTTCCTCCCATCCCAATCCAAACTCTCTTCCTGCCCAGACCGCAGCAATAGTCAACAAATTCAAGTTCCCCAAACTTGGCTTCCTCCTTCTCACCTCTGGACTGTTCTCTCTGGAATGCCCTTTCTCCCTACCCCTCCATATACCTGCCGCTGGTTACCCCGACTCAACTTTCAGGATCCAACCTGGAAGCATTCCATGACCAGCCGCCCCCAGCCCATGGCTGGGACAGGTCCCAACTCATGACCCCCACGGTCCCCTGTGCTCGCCTGCCTCAGCACAACACACCCGATGTGAGTGCCTGTCGCTCTGTGTCTCTCCTGCTAGTCTGGAAAAGCCTTGACAGTAAGTGGTCTGTCTCTCTTACTCTGTCCTCACTGTGCAGCCCTGCTGTCTGGCACAGGGCAGGCATTCAATAAATGCTTGATGAATGAATGAATGAATGCATACGAATAATTGATCAAAGTGTTAAAATAGTCAAGAAGTCTAAACCTACCCTCTTCTGTTTTACACCAAGAATGAGTTCATCAAAAACTCCTCCACCAAATGACTTCTCTTGGTCATTGCCGGCACTTGCCACAGAATCCATTTACCTTCACACAGTAAGGCCGACATCAGGGCAAACCAGGCCCTCAGGACACTGTCACATCCTGGATACAGCTCCGCCTCTCTGGCCCCTGCCCCCATTCCATCCCAACCCCAGAGAGGTAAGTGGAGAGAATGAGCAGAGAAATATAGGTTCAAGGTGGAGTCAGGCTCAAGAATCATCTGTATAAACACTGTCTTGTTCATTCCAATAAAACGGAACTGAAGAATCATTCTCTCAATTTTCCAGGGGAGAAACTGAGGAACAGACAGGTTAAGTGGCTCTCCCAATGAAACACATCAAATCAGTGGAAGAGAAAAAATAGCTCCCTAACTTCCCAGAAATTTCACCCCAAAGCACAGCTTGGATTGTCAGAATGACAGCCAAGGATTCTGAGTATCCATAACACAAAGCTTTTTTTTCCCCCCTTCTTTCTTTCTTTTACATTTCATGGGTGAGGGGTAAGCACCGGATCTGAAGGTTTATTTACCATTCCTTAGCCTGACCTTCCGGGAAGAATGTCACTAATGAGAAACAATCTACTTGGGCTCCCAAACCCAGAATTTTCATAGGGATCAATTTAGGATTTCAGAGTCTAAACAGGACAAGGGTAATACCAACTGTCTTCCCTTCGAAGAAAAAAAAAAAGCAACTGAGTTTTTCCTGTCTGGAAGGAAGTTTTGTAAATGTCAAACAAATGTCAGAGCTGAGGTTACATCTTTCCCGTTGTTCCGATCCCCTTGGGATGTCCACTGGGAGCAACGGAGAGCATTCGCTTTCCCGTGGTATAGGCTGAGGGAAGTCAAAAATGAAAGGAAAGGGGTAGATGGGACTGATGTTTCAAAAACTGACCTTACGGTGGAGACTAGAAGCCAGGAGCTCTGCTCTCGAGACCAGGTTCCATTCTAATTCACAGCGAAATGAGGATTCTGTCATTGTGCAGGAGACATTTCCATCCCAGCAAAGTGTACACTCCATGAAGGCAGAGGTCACGTCTGTCTTGCTCTCTGCTGTATCTCACTGCCAGCAAATGCCTGTCACATTGTAGGTCCTCCTATTAAATGAATGAATTAAACAACTAGCCAGTGTAAAACAGTTGCATAGAAACAGCCAATAGATATTATTTCTATTTTAAAAGCAGTTTTTCTTAGCAGGTGGAGAGATTATTTTATTTTTTTTATTTTATTTTATTTTATTTTATTTTCATGATAGGACCTAGAAGTATCTGGATCATCCTGTCAGCTCATCTCACTTAGTCTATGGACAATACATCAGTGACAGATGCTATTGTGATTCAACTGGTTATTAAACAGCACGAACGGCAAACTCACAATTCTCTTAAAACTGCCCCACATCTGGCTGTGTCAGTGGGTCATAAAACCTCTCAGGTGTTAGACGGTCTGTTTCATTTGGTCTCAGCTTAGCAGAAACCACCCTCCACTACTGTCCCAGCCATCACAGCTGGGCGCATGCAAGTCTCAATAAACTGCCACTTGGTGATCAGGAAGGCAGCAGAGGGAACCAACTCTGTCCCCATCCTCTCTGGCCTCAGAAAGAAGTCCTGACCTTCCTCTAGGAAAAGGAGGGTGTGCATTGAATGATTTCAGCTTTGTTACGTTAGCTGAAGAAGGACCAAGAGACAGTGTTGGGTGGGAGACCATGGATCTGGGCATAAATTCTGGTTCTGTCACTAAGTGGCTGTGTCCTCCCTGGACAAATGGCTCCCTTCTGTGGCCTCAGTCTCTTTCTCTGTAAGACGGGGATAACAATTGTGCCGACTTCACGGGGCTGTCATGAGGATTAAAATCGATGAACATAGAACTCATTAGATAGTGCCTGGCACACCGTAAATACTAGGTGAGTGTTAGCTATTGCCTTTATCTGTAAAATGAGGGCCCCTGTGGTTCTGCAGGATCTCTCAGCCCTCCTAAGAAGGAAAACTCATTAAACTCTAAGGGTGCCATTTTTATATTCTCTATGCACCTGCCCCATCAAACTCCTCCCAGACCATATATGGATAAAGATAAGAGTCTGCACTAGTGGTCTAAAAGGGTATCAGAAAAGGCTCTCCTACGTACCCTGTCTTTCATGGTCCTGGGAGAAAACCCTCACAGAGGGGCAACTCCATCTACCCCTCCAATTTGAACGTAATCTGGGGCTTCCTGCCACCTCAGTGCAATTGGCATGGAAATCGGTTCTGTTCAGAGAGTGGACGAATGGCAGGAGGAACTTCTGGGCTTGGGAAGGTGTGTGGGTCCCTAGGTCTCTGCTCAACCCCAGCCTCTGACCCACTCAGTCTGGGGTCAAGAGCCTTCCAGCAATTCAGTGATGGGCTGCTGTTTCTGGATATCATAACGATAATAATTTCTTAAATTAGAGTTCATCACATCCATCAAAACATAAGTGCTTCTCAAATATCCCTCGTCCATGTGCATGGCCCATTTTTATGTGAGGAAACTGAGGCTCACAAAGGTTAGCACCTGAGGCAAAACACCAGTCTAAACTGTTGGTGATGTTTTTCCTGTGTCATACTCGGGTCTTCCACAGTAAGCTGCTTGATTACTTTGTTGAATAGAAGAGGTGTCCTGAATTGACACTAACATCCTCCTAAAAAGTTAACAGTATCCGCAGCCCTATCCCAATAACTCTTGAAAAACCTTATTCACGGGCAAAAGTGATCAATATAAGTTGGCTGCCCAGAGCTGGGATCCACTGGATCCTGGAGAATGGATGTCCCTAGTGAGGCCAGAGAGGAAGCTTAATTCTGAGCTGAGCCTCCCTCTTGGCTAGAAATACCAGCCCCAGGTGCTCCATCTCACTGCCCCGGTCTGCAGTCTGTGATTAGCGGCCCTAATGGCCATAATGCCTCCAATGTGGTGTTTAAACCAATAAGGCTTCAGAGAAGTTACGGTATGTTTAATAATGGCTTAATGACTACTTGTGAGATGCAAGGCTTCTGGTTCCTGTTTCGCCTTGATTTACAGCCCAACTCCGGCTGAGGACAGCCAAGAAACCCCCTCTAAGCCCCCAGCGGAAGAGGGAGGTGTTCACACCAGGCCTCTTGGATTCCTTTAAAAACTGAGAATTCAAATGAAATACAAATGATGTTTGACTCCCTAGTCTCTGGAAGCATTGAAAATAAAAACGGTGTAACCCAGACTTAGGGACTCCTCAATCCACAGAAGCGAGCAGGGTCCTAGGGCCCTCGGGTATCTCTTCCAGATCTTAGGTAGGGTGGGGGTTGTTTCTCTTTTCAGAAATTCTAGGCTACTGCACTAGTCCTATGCTTCCTTTTGGCTGGGGAGACCCAGCTCTTAGGAGATGCAGTCCTACACTTACCTCCCTGCAAAACAGCAGGCCTGGAGCAGCAGAGCCCTGAGGTCTGAGCTGCAGACAGCCTCTCTCCAGTGGGTCCCCAGGCACTTCCAGATCATTTACCCACTGACAGGCATTCACTCCATGTCTGCTGTTCAAATGTAAATCCTTCTACCTACTCCTCCACCTGCTCCCAAGGCAGCCTGTGCTGGACCCTGTTCAGTCCTGAGCTGCCCTTACAAGTCTTCCTTCTGCTCCCGCCCTGCCTCTGCAACACAGCAGGAATATATAGAAGGACTCTGAGGATTGACTCGGTACAGTCTCCACAGTCAGATGAGGACGCTAGTGGCTGGTTCAAGATCCCACAGCTAATTAATGATAGGCCCAAGCTCCCCAGCCCCCATTCCCAGATGGGACCTGTTCCACACAATACTCTCAATGACTCCCCTCCCTGTGAGAAACAAGAGATCTCTAAGGGAGGTGTTTTTGCTGTAGGCAACGTTTCTCCCAGCAAAGTAACTCCCTAACTCCAGCTAACTCCCAGCAAAGAATTAGGTGATCCAGCCCGGCCCCTACCTGCCCCCAGCCCTTATCCCAGGCTGATGTCAGGAGGCCAGACCTGCAAGTGTTCGTTGGGGATGGAAGGGGCGGCTCCACCCCACAAGTGCGTCACCCCTTTAGGGGTAGAAGCCTCTAGCCTGGATACCAGGACCAAGGGTGCTGCTCTGAACAAGGGACTCACCGTGACGGGCAAACAAAAGGGACTCTGCCCTCGAGAGGCGGTGGCTTCCTCCCCCTCTCCTCGAACTGCCTCAGATATGGGGACTGGGGTGAATCAGGGGGCTCTCGGGCTCGGAGGGGTTAACCCGCGCGGGGCTGCACGTGACGTGGATGGTTCCAGCATTAAGTCAGCGGCGCGGCCCCCTCCCCTGTCTCCCGCCCCCCGCCCCCCGCGGCGCGCGCCGCTCCCGGGGGCTCCGCGCCCCCGCGCCCAGGTCCCTCCCCCTTGGCGGGCGCTCTCAGGCCGCGCGGGCAGCGCGAGCCCCGAAGCCCCGGCGGCCTGTGCGCCCCGAGCCGGCATGGACCCTGAGCGCTGCGCGCCTTTCGGCTTGGGGCCCGAGTCTGGCCCCTACGCGGCCGCGGGGGACGAGCCTCCGGGCCCCCAGGGGACCCCCACCTCCGCGCCTCACCTGCACCCCGCGCCGCCCCGCGGCCCGCGGCTGACCCGCTTTCCAGCCTGCGGGCCCCTGGAGCCCTACCTCCCAGAGCCGGCCAAGCCGCCCGCCAAGTACCTGCAGGACCTCGGGCCCGGCCCGGCGCTCAACGGCGGCCACTTCTACGAGGGCCCCGCGGAAGGTAACGCGCGGCGCGGGGCGTAGCGCGCAGCCCCGACCCGCTCCCCTTCCCTCCTCGGGCCCGCACGGGCCTCCCCGCTTCCCTCTGCTGCTCGCCTGTTTCTCAACTTTTTGACCCTCTCGCCCCTCGCCACGGCTCCCTCAGAAGCTGGACGGGCGCTGGTCCAGGCCAGGCAAAAGCCAGCGCCGTGCGGGAGGCAGAGCCACCCTTCCTCCAGCGACGGGAATGGGAGGCAGGAGGAGGTCGAGACAGGGTGGAGCAGCGACGGCCGGGGCCCAGTTGGGCCCGAAGGCGGCCGGAGCTGGGAAGGAAAGATCATGCTTGGCCGGAGTTGGGCTGGAACTGCCACCTACCCAGAAGCCCGGACTGGGCCCAGGGCCCGGGCGCCACACTGAGCCGTTGGCCCCGATTTGGGGATAGAAGCGCGCGGCTTTTGTGTCTGGCGCCCGCTAAGGGCCCCGAGGCTGGGCCCCGACCAAGAGTGGCCAAGCTGGGCTCAGCCGAGGGCTGCGGCCTGTCCTCCGCCGGCCTCTCCTCCCCAGGCCCAGCCTCCGCGGGAAGGGCGCTAGCTGCGCGTTAGGCGCTCGGCGGAGTGGCCGCGGCTGGTCCGCCAGTGCCGGGGCCATTCTCAATACAGAATAACTGTGTTCTTATTTCTCAGACTAACCTGGCCTCCCCGTCGTTATGCACGGTATGGCCGCCCTTCTCGCAGTCTTGACTTCCTCGCACTGGATCGTCACCGCTGGGCCGTCGGGAGCAGCCTGGGAGGGCCTAACCCCTGGGCGTCTCGGGCTCCTGGCCGGTGCCCTATGCGCTAAGGCCAGTTGGATCGCACCGTTTCCCGAGAACCTGAACGCCGGGGCCTGGCAGGCGGGTCCGCAGCCCCACCGCCGCACACTGTACCGGCTGGCCTGTCGGAATCTCGGCGCCCGCGCCCGCCCCATCTGCGCTGCCACAGCCCGCAGCTTAGGCCCAGAGCTGGATCCTCCCAGAGCGGCCCCAACCCGCCCTCGTCCCGCTGGCGCCTCCCGGGCCTCCACAGAGTAGCCAGGCAGCTCTGGCCTTGGCCCAGCCGGGGCGGTGGGAATGTGTAGGGGAGGGCTAGGAGGTGTGTGGGGGTCAGCGGAGGAAATGAGCGAGTCCGCGGAGCTGCGTGTCTGTGCCCTTTGAAAGAGGCTTTCCTGATAAAAACCACAGTTAGGACTTAATGAGAAGCAGTTGGCCTGGCTCCTCTGATCCCAGCCAGACGGCGGCGGCCGTGCAGCGCCATGAGCACCGCCAGGGACAGGTACCCGGCCTGGCTGGGCGCGCCGCGTCGGGCAGGACCCACCCGCGGGCTCGCGTCCCTGCTGGGCGCGCCGGATCCCGCACGGACCGCGAGGGCGCCAGGATCGGCCGGGCGCCAAACAAACTGCCGAGAGCGCTGGAGCAGAACGAGCGGCGGGGAGCAACCCAGGGACCGCGACGGTGTCAACAACGAAATGCATGGAAATAAAACCAAAGAGTGTAAACAACAACCAAAAAGAGGGAAAAAGAATTTGCGCAAAACAACGGAGGACAGAGGCGAGAACGAGAGGTAAACGGCTGTCAGCGAGCTGTGCAGAACGGAAAAGAATAAATGAGGAACGACGAGCGGAAGATCGAAGGAAGCGGGTCAATGGAGAAGGGGAAGGACGAAGAGAGTAGGAACAGACAAAACGAAAGAAAAGAAGGACATCCTAAAAGAGCAGAAAATAGCAAAATGAGAACAAGTGGGAGAGGAAAATTAACGATTCAAGATGAGCCGAGGACAGGCCAAACGAAACGAGGCGCCGCGAGTGCGAGCGGAGCCTGGGGAGAGACCCCGGCTGCCGCTGGCCGCCCGGTGCCCTGGCCGGGACTTCGCGGGCGGGCGGCCTGCGGCGGAGCCCGGCTGCTGGGGAAGGACGGCCCCGGGGGCTCGGGCCGCGCAGTCTACGTGGTGGGAAGTGGCGGGCAAAGAGCGAACCCTCGTTATTTCCCCGGCGTGTAAAATAACGGGCTGGGAGCGTTTCCAGTTCAGACCAGTGAGCGCGCAGCTGCGCCCCATCTGCGGCGCGGTCTTTGCCGAGGCCGGGAAGTTGCGCTCGAGAGCCTGGCGCACCGCGCTCCGCTCTCGCCCTTTGCGGAGAGCGCCCAGCCCTGCTCTGGACCACGGCCGCGTCCTGTCTTTGCCAGCCACCCTCGCGTCCTCTGCGCGTGACTGCTCTGAGGGCCGAAGAAATGCATGGCCGGTCCTTCTTCCTCTGCCGGGGGCCGCCCAGTCTGTCTCCGAGGTTGGCTCCCTCACTTCTGGATGCTCCCGCCGCCGCTGAGGCCTTGAGCTGGGTAACTGTAAGGGCCGCGCTCACCGGCCGACCACGGGTCTCGAGAGTTCCAAGTCATCGCCCCTGGCTGAAGTCTCTAGGCCAAGGCTGAGGACCTTTAAGGGAAGCACCAAGGCCCTGCTGGGGTCCTACACACGACGGTTATGTCCACACCCGGCTGCAGGTCTTCAGCGAGAGCTTCGAGAGCTCAGGCCTCAGCGAGCTCTGCGGTTCGCTTGAGACGCGCGCGCGCGCGGAGCAAGGCTGCCACGAAAGCTGAGAGCTGGATGGTTGGTCCTGCGGCCCCACGCCATCCGTGGGGGCAGTGCCGCTCCCGGGCTTCAGTGGCTTCGAGGCAGCCGCTAGTAGGGGCTCTGGCTGTCCCTGGAGCGGGGGAGTGCCCAGGGCGGGAGAGCCGAGTCAGGGACACAGCTTCTGCGCCGTCGCAGAGGTCCTTGTCCTGGCTCCTGTCTTTCAGGCCCAACAGACTGCTGCTCTGGCTCTGCGGTTGTACAGGCCATGGACACCGGTGGCTGAGCCCCAGGCTCCCAATCTCCAACATGAGCACTCCCCCTTAACCACCCAGTGTCCCCACCACGTGCAAGTGACTCCTGCACACAGCCTGTACACACCTTGAATGTGCTCCGGGCCTTACAGCGCATCCTTCCCCTTATAGGCTTAGATCCAAACTGCTGGTGTTCATTCCTGCTCTCCATTTATCCCACCTCCATCTCTTCTGGGCCTTGCTCCTCAGGAGGCTGCTTGGTGTGCTATGAGTCATGCCCCTGTCCCCCAAAGAGGGAGAATGCCACCCTGTCCATGGAGTTCTCCAGGCAGATGGAGGAGGGTTCAGGGCAATAACAATGAAGAGGGGAGTTCTTTGGTCCCCTGACAGGGCTGTAGAATGGGCAGGCATGGGAGGCCAGCAGAGGCCAGCAGGCTTGGCCCTTTTTTGGATAGCTATTCTCAGAAGTCCCGTTGCATTTTCATCTTTTACCCTGGTAGCTGGGTGGCTTAAGTTCAGGAAGACAAGTCCCAGAGCCCCAGATCTGGTGACTTCCTCTGGGCAGATCCTATTGAGACAGGCACTGAGGGCCCAAGAGGCAGATGAGCAAGCACCAGAGCTGTGGGGAATCCTCTGCAGTGATGTCAGTGCTCCCCTGACCCCCATCCCTGAGGTACTCTCACCCTTTTCTGCTGGAGTCCAGCAGGGCCTCCCTCCGAACTCAATACACCAAGATCCCTCCCTCTCAGGCCTGCTGCGTGTGGGGTCTCCCCTTCCAGTTTCCCTGGTCCCCCTTACTGTTTTCAGTTATTTGGTTCAACTTCCACTCGTCCTCCTTCCTAAGGTCCTACCAAATGGAACTACCCCTAGAACCAAAATATGCTGGCCAAGAATAGAAGTTAGGTACTGCAGTATTTACTCTCCAGTGTTCCACCTGAGTTGAGAAGCAGAACTGGTGCCTGGGATGTCGCTGTGCACAGCCCCCCCCCCCCGAGGGCAGGCCCTACCTGACCCTCCCAGACCTCCAGGACACTCACAACTCGGAGCTTATTTCACAGCCTGGGTGGTCCTGGGAAGTCACTGACCACCTTCCAGCTGAAGGGAACCTTACCCAACATTTCTTCCACAATGCAGACAGGGACTTATCAGACCCAGAACCCCAAAAGCCCATTTCCCTGGTCCTGTCCTCCCCCAACTACAGCTGTGATCCCAATACCAAGTTCCAGGCAAGAAACTGCCTCTTGGTGCCAGCTTGCTGGGCCTCCTGGGGGCCAGGCCCCTGCTGGGATGGGCCTGGGGCCAGGGAAGGGGCTGTGTGTCAGTGGGGCGTTGCTCCTGCCCTCCCAGAGGACTGCTGAGGAAAGATTTCATGGCAACGCCACTGGGGGTCCTCACCAGAGTGAGAGGGCGGGGGCCATCAGGATGACCCATTTTTCCCCATGCCCCGGTCGGTGGTGGCGGGGCTCCACCAAGCTTCCTGAGTGAGGGTTAGCACGTCAGAGTGCGGCTGCTGGGAACTGTTCCCCGTCTGCAATCACGGGCAACGGGGGAGCTGTCAGAAACTCCTGAGGAGGGAGGAGCAGACAATGATGAGAATGATGGGTTAGGGGCTGCGCCCTATTTGGACACCCCCAACTCTCCTTCTCCCAGCATAGCCTATCTCCTGCCTCTCTAATGCTGGAGCTTAAGTCTTTGCCCAAACATCACACTTTTCGGAGGAATGAGACAATCCCTCTTGAAACTTCTTTGCCCCATCTTGCCCTTCATACCCCAGGGCTGGGAGATTTGACATTTGGGGTTCAGAGAATGAGGCACAAGCAGACCAGCCAAAGGTCCTGGGAGCAGAGGCATGGGCACAAGGACATGGGAACCAAGGCCTGCAGGGTCACGGACAGGAGGCACTTCCTGGCAGGGGTGGGGACATGTCAACCACCCCATCCTCTCCCCCTCCTCCCACCTCTGCACTAGGCCCTGCCATGGCGCCAATCCTGGCATCTCCACACCGTGTGGGACGTACCACCACAGTGCTTCCCCGAAATGAACCCCCCTCTGGCCCCAGCAGATCAACCCAGACCACAGAGCACATGGTTCCCCAGGGCCCCCCTCCCCTGCTGGAGGCTCAGCAGGCAGGCCTCTTAATACTAGGCTCTCATGGAGGGTGGCTGCTGTGGAGGAAGGGAAGAAAAAGGAAGGGGGAGGCGGGGACTGAAGCGTCAACGTTCTTCCCCCTCCCTCCATTCCACCCACAAAACCCCTTGGTTCGGTTTCCATCCTCCTTTTTGTGTTTTCCATTGCAGCTGAGGAGAAGGCCTCCAAAGCTGCCAGCTTCCCCCAGCTGCCCTTGGACTGCCGAGGGGGCCCCAGAGACGGGCCCTCTAACTTGCAAGGCTCCCCAGGCCCCTGCCTGGCAAGCCTGCGCGTCCCTCTGTCCCCGGGACTCCCAGACTCCATGGAGTTGGCCAAGAACAAGAGCAAGAAGCGCCGTAACCGCACGACCTTCAGCACGTTCCAGCTGGAGGAGCTGGAGAAAGTCTTCCAGAAAACCCACTACCCTGATGTGTATGCCCGGGAGCAGCTGGCTCTGCGCACGGACCTAACGGAGGCCCGGGTACAGGTGAGGTCGCCTCAGGCATGGGGCTCTTTGGCTGCCTTGACCACCCAGACCATGGGCCAGAGCATGGAAGGGCTGAGAGAGGTGGGTGCTAGAGCCACAGAGAGCTGCCTTTCCCAGGAGCCTGTCCCCAGCCCACCCTCCTGGGCTCACCTTCCATGCCCAGCTCTGCTGCAGCCACGGACTTGCAGCTCAAGTTGAGGCTTATGCATGTGCATGAGGGTGATGTTCTCTTGGAGTTAAAAGACCTGTGTGGGTGTCCTAGCTCTGCCACTTACTAGCTGGCCAGGTGATTTGGGGCATGTCATTGAATTGTTCAGTCTCCATTTCCCAATTCAGGAAAAGAGGATAGTACTACCTACTTAAGGAGTATCTTTGAGGATCATAGGTGTGACAGCATTTTGGAAGCAGTGAAATGCTGAACACATATCAGGGCTGCTCCTGAGGGGGCTGCCCAGAATGGGAGGGTCCCCACTGGGGGTTCTCAGGCTCGGTGAATGCTCAAAGCCATCCTGAGCCAGCATCCTTCAGTCCTGCCAACTCCCAGACCTGGGCTGGGAGAGCCTGGCCAGGAGTCTCTCCCCACCCAACAAACTCCACGACAGAGGTCAGGCCCCAGGCTTCCTGGATGGGGCTGAGGCCAGCTTCATGTAGGATGGAGCTCAGTCTGTGGGGATGGGCTCGGGGGATGGAGGGATGCTGGGAACAGGGGAAAAGGAGAAGGGCAGGGAAAGTCCATGTCCAAGCCATGTTGGAAATGAGAAAGAGCAAGAAGGTGGCAAGCAGGGTGGGGATAGGAAAGGAGGCTTCAGGAAGAGTCTGGCCCAAGAGGAAGATGGTCGGTGTTGCCTTGCTTTGAACCGGCTTGATAAACAGCAGGCTCCCTGATGCCAAGCAGAAGGTACTGGGAGAGGGGTTAGGTTTGGGCTTCTCAGGACGTGAGGAGATTCCCTCTCCCACCACAGAGCTCACACTTATCACACCCTGCCTGGGCCTCTCCAGACTGTTTGAAGGCACTGGGGCAGGGGCCAGCTCTGGCAGAATATGGGGCCTGGCAGGCCAGTCTATCAGGAGGCCAGCTGCCGTCTAGCAGAGAAGGCCCCACAGCTGAATTCAACGTAGGACAAGAGGGGCTTGGGCTGTTTCCCCTTCTCTGCTGGGTCCTCCTGCTTCCATGTTCCTCCCCGATGGCACCCAAAACAGACTTTCAGGACTGTCCCCCAAGGTTCCCCAGGGCCTGGGGCCATCAGGGTGAGAGCCCAGCATGCAAGACAACCCCAGACTACATAAGTCTAGAACATCAAGTCTCTAGACACCTCAGCAAGCCTCTGGGGTGGGGTGTGAAATAGCTGCCCCTATGGAACTGCTCTGGGGAAGTAGAGCACACTTCCCCACTCCTCCTAGGCCTTTTCAACCCTGGAAGGGTGCAGAGGTAGCCACAAGGCTCCCAGACCTAGCCCAGAAGCTTCCCCAGTGATTGAGGCCCTGGAGTAGGGATGTTTTCTGGGACAGGAGCATGACATCACCCATAAGCCCCACCCCATGGAGAGAAATAAGACCACACACAGGACAATGCAGAAGGCAGGTCCAGAGCACGGGTGGGGACTCTGAGGGAGAACGGGTGGTGACAGGGAAGCATTCCCAGCAAAGTGATCCGCTTCACAGGCTGCAGGCTCCTTCATCTGCCTGTGGGGGAGGGAAAGGAGAGAAAGGAAGGCCAGGTAGCTGGGCAGGTGCGGTGGCCCTTCCCTGACTTCACCCCAGGCCTGCTCTGGGATCTCTGCAACCGGGGTTGGGGGGTAGGGGCCAGCTTCTTAACTGTCAGGGCCTCACCTGCCTGCATGGGTAGGAATGCCCGTGGGGGAGCATGAGGGGCTGGAGTGGGGTTACACACACACACACACACATAGCTTCTTCTGTTGTGGCTCCAAGCTAGATCCCTGGAAAGCAGGTGGATTGTTTGGTTTGGTTTGGTTTTGATATTGCCAGTGTCTATCCCAGAGCCTGACACATTTATTAAATGATAGAAATACAAAATGCATGCACCAATACACATAAATCTAACAGTCATAGGGCACATACAAAACAACAAATTCATCACAGATAGGTACAGAGGACACAGATAGGCCACCCTTACCTGCCAGGAGCTCACAAATAAACGGGAGAGACAGATTCCAAAACAGATAATGGTAATAGGACGTGCTAGGTACAATTAGAGAGATGCCGGGTATCACGAAGTCCAGCAGAGGGTGCCCAGCTCAGATGTATGCGTGGGGGGAAGGTAGCACAGGCAGGGAGTACCTGAGCAAAGGCAGAGGGGAGCAGGTAGCAGAGTGTTTCAAAGGCAAGCTGGGGTGGGAGGCAGCTAGGAAGAGTCCAGTGGTGTTGCCTGGCAGGAGATAAGGCTGTGGAGAGCAGCAGAGGTCAGTGCCAAGCTGGGCTGGGGGCTGAAGTCTCCAGGGAGCCACTGAGGGTTTAAGCAGGACCAGCACCTGAATAGAAATATCTTTAAAATTCCTCAGATGCCGTGAGGTGGGTAGATTGGAAAAGGAGATGAGGCGGGGGGGCTAGAAACCTAATGTATGTGCACTGGTACAGCTAGGAAGTGCCCAGGGCCTCTGGGGCCACAACACCCTTACCAGACACAGCCAGGCTGGGGAACCAGAGTGACTCAGCCTGGGGAGTGGGGCCGGGGGTGGGCACATACGGCCAATAAACTGCTCTGGGCTTGGGCCTCTCCTAGGCCTCATCCCAGGCTCCCCCGGCCGAGAAGAATATGGATTTACAAACTCCTGTAGCTTAAGATCCTCCAGCCCGGAGCCAGCTCCCCACCCCATAGGAGGACACCATCACCTCTCTCACCAGCAGGCTCCATTCCTCAGGACTACCTTATCACCCCCTCAACCTCCCCCTAGGTGTGGTTCCAGAACCGAAGAGCCAAGTGGCGGAAACGCGAGCGTTATGGGAAGATCCAGGAGGGGCGGAGCCCCTTCACATCTGCCTACGACATCTCTATGCTGCCCCGAACAGACAGCCACCCCCAGGTGAGACCACACTCTGCCCAAGTGAAGGCCTGGTCATGTCCCATGGAGTAGCCAGCAAGAGTTCTGGCCCCTGGGGGACCTGGAGCAGCACTGGGGCTCTGTGTGACGGTGGGTAAAGCACTTCTTCCTCTGCAAAATGGGCTCCCACCTGTCTCATGAAGGATGCATGCAGAGCAGCTGGCACAGAGGAATCACTAAAGAAAATCTCATTTTGAGAGGCAGTGGCAGGGACCTCCTGAGATGCCACTTTGGGGGCAGGAGGGAGCAGATTCTAGACTCAGGCCAAGTTAAGGTTGCTTAGAAAGTTTCTAGAGCCCTAAGAGTAAAGAGAGAGCTCCTAGGTAAGGGAGGCAGCCCCTGGGGCTACTGATTCATGGGCCTTCTTTTCTCTTTTCAGCTGCAGAACTCCCTGTGGCCCAGCCCAGGGTCTGGGAGCCCTGGGGGCCCCTGCCTCGTATCTCCAGAGGGCATCCCCTCCCCATGCATGTCTCCATACTCCCACTCTCATGGGAATGTGGCTGGCTTCATGGGGGTGCCAGCCTCCCCTGGAGCCCACCCTGGCATCTACTCCATCCATGGCTTTTCCCCTCCCCTGGGGGGCCACAGCTTTGAGCCTGCCCCGGATGGCGACTATAAGTCTCCAAGCCTCGTCTCGCTAAGGGTGAAGCCCAAGGAGCCGCCCAGCCTGCTGAACTGGACCACGTGATTGGCTGTGTGGACACGCAGACTGAGCTGCCCACCCCCTTTTCCGTTCCCAGCTGCTCTCACCTCACCCCAGTTTGGGCGCCAGAGAGAACACTGCCTCAAAGCCCCAGATGGTTCCTGGAGGCCCGGGCAGAGTGGCTGGGACCTCTCAGGCTCCTGCAAGGAACAAGCTAAGGAGTCTTTTGTCTTAGAATAAGGTGGGGCTGCCCAGGAGAAAGGGGGATTCAAAGCAGGTAGGCCTCTTCCTACCACATACTGGGTCCCCTCACCCAGACTCTGGTCTAGAAGGAGGAAGACATTGTCCTGCTTCCTTCAGACTTCATCCAAGTTTAACTGTCATCCCTCCAGCTGAAACAGCTTAACTGGCTCCTCATTCAGGGAACCCAAGAAAATGGGAGGAGGAGGAGGACACAGGTTGAACTAGGAGGAGTTCCTTGTGACTTTGGGGAAACCAGTCTTGTATGACCACCTAGGACCGGCTTCACTTCCCCCTCCCACCACCAGGGGGCGTGCACCCAGTGTCTGGCACTGACAAGGGCCTGGAAGCCCCAGGTCAGTGTAAAAGGTGCCCATCTCCCCAGCTCCAGCCATCCCTTACTCCTGCCCTCTGCCCCCTCCTGCAACATGCTATGGAGTCCTCTTCCCCCTCCTAGGGGGCAGAAATTCCACCAGAAACCACCAAATATTTGGATTCTCTTCCACGGAATCAAGCCAGAGCTATGCCATGGAAACCGTAAGCTCCCTTGATTTACTCATTGGATTGTTGCATGTTGGTAAGAATGAAACAGATTTCCACAGACTCTGAGCCCCTGAGATCTTGACCCCCACTTCTGTAAAGATCCTTTTGTAAAAAATGTGCTGCCCAGCATAATAATAAAGGTGGCAGTAGTTTTTTATACCAGGTGATTGTGTATCCTCAGAGTTTGGCACTCAGTTGCTCTAGAGCTGGTCTGTGCCTGGGGTCCAGGCTGGCCAGGCCCTCCTGAGAGGCTGGCAGAGATCCAGGAGGCTAGGGGAAGGTGTGCCTGCAGCAAAGCCCCCAAGGCTGATGCATACCATGCCTGGCCCTATCACCTGCCCAGGGTCTCTGTGGCTTCAGCAGTGCAGGGAAGCAGTGAGGAGTCTAGCTCTAGGGCTGGGCTCATCTGGAGGGTAAAATTGGGGGTGGGAAAGGGAGTGAGAAAGCTGAGGTAAGCTGTGGCTGAACTGACAATAGAGGGGAGGCGGAATGGAAGACCAGGGAGCCCACCAAGGGCTCTGAGCTCCCCATGGGCGGGGACCCCAGGGCAGTGGGGGTGGGGCAGCTTCCTTCTCCCAGACGTCCCAGGAGCATATCTAAGCTGTGGGGCAGAGACAAAAGCCAGGACTCTTTCTTGTGGTTTCAGAGTATTACCCATTCTATCCTTCATCCTCACTTTCTGCCTTATCTCCACAGCCTGGAAGGCAGGAAACAAGCAGGCCTGGCCCTCCCACCCTCCCGGTAAACACAACCACATTGCTCAGAGGAGCTCAGCCTTAGCTAGCAGCCCACCCCGCACCTCTTCTTCCAGGCACAGAAAAACCCAAGCACCAAGACACCATGAGCCATGCTTATTCTCAAGGAGGGTGCAAGTCCCCCATCAGATTGGATTTTCCAGCCAAGACAGTCACTGTGACAAGGCTCAAGCATCCCTCAGAGTGTCTTCCCTCTTCTCTGTCCTTCATTTGAGGGCCTGGCTTCTGGTGATTTCTCTCCTCTGTACTGACGCTGGCTCTAAGGTCCTGGTGTGAGCCCTGTGTTCAGCAGGAAGGGAGCAGTCCGGGTAGTAGGAAGAGGCAGCCCCAGCTACCTCCGATGAACAGAACCACCCTCCTCCAGCTGGTCAATAATGAACAGGGGCTCAAACCCACATTCTAACTCCAGGGCTAAGAACACTGCACTAGAAGTTTCTTCACCCAAGGAGTGGCCAGTAAAGTTTTTGATTTTCTGTCTTACAAGTCAGCGAGATGCAGAGAGAGATCCATTTGTTCTACGAATATTTATTGAGTGCCCGCTCTGTGCCAGGCATTGTGCTGGTGCCAGAGATAGAGCGATGGTCAAGAAAAACATGATTTCCTCTCTCTCACAACTTAGAAAGGGAGAGACGGAGAGAAGGAAGAGGAAGGGATCTGTGAAAGTCCGAGCACAGGAAGCAGAAGTGGGGAAGAGACAGATGCGAGAAGAAAATAAAGTCGAGCCAGAGATCAATGCAGCAAGAGTGGAAGGGGCGGGCAGGAGCCGGCCCTGTGCGGGAGGGAGGCCCTGCAGGGGGAGGACACAGGGAGGCCAGAGACCAGCTACTGGCTCCCATCCAGGGGCATCTGCCCACAGCTCATATTTTTCTGTCCAGTGACAGCTAAATGAAGAGAAAGCTAACTTTACAACCGCCCACTTCACACATAATGAATATGAATGGGCATCTCGGAGCCTGTTCCCTGGGATTATCTGTGAGCTGATGGGTTCTCCCACTGACTGGGCCATCCCAGCCGGCCTGTCCCCTGGCTGGGACATGGGCAGCCCTTCCACCTGCTTTCCATTAGCTGCCCTTCCATCCTCCCCTCCTCCTCCACACCCTAGGCGTCTCACCCCTAAGACACAGCCCCCAGGTCTCCAGATGCCCCCGTCCCCAGCCTCACTCCAGAGGCTACTTCAGCCCTCAGCCTAGGCCTCATGTTTCCCCAAGGCCAGGCTGGGGATCTGGTCACCCTTTCTGAAAAAGGAAAAGGGAAGTGGCCCCACCTGGAATCCCAACTTTAAGAGAGTTGCTAGGCTCAATCTCCCTTTCACCCCTCTTCTCCACCCCAGTGAGGCCCACCCAGAGAAGCCCTAAATCTTGGTCCCAGCAGGGGCATGGACACCAGGGCCCAGAGAGAAGGGCCCTAGCCAGTGGGCCCTTCAGTCCAGGCTTCCAGCCTCAGTCGAACATAGAGAAATGCTTCTCATTAGAGGCATTCAATCTTCGTTACCCGCCTCCCCGAACCATTTACACATCAATCTGAATTACAACCTAGAAGTGGACTCTCCAGACAGGAACAGAGCCCAACATCACCAGAAACTGGGCATTTCCTGTATCCAGCAGGAGTACATACCTCACCCCTGCCCCAGCCTCATCCTAGCCATTTTCACCAGGGGGGTCAAGAAGCACAAAGTGTCCTCTCTTGGAGCCCTTGTTCCTGATGCTGGAGCCCCCTCCCTTCCCACTCGACAACTGCATGACCCCCCACCCAGTCTCTTCTCCAGTAGGAGTGCACTAGCTGGGACCAATGGGACCTGTGTGGCCCTGCAGATGTCTGTCTCAGTACCTATCACATTTTGCTCTTACTTGCTTTTATGGCCATGTCTCCATCAACTGTGAGCTCGTCAAGGAAAGTGAGCGAGTATGGTGTCCTATTCACCTGGACACCTGGAACGGGGCCAGGCCCAGGACAGGCCTTCATGGTCTGATGGCAGGGTTGCTAGATGAGTGGCTGACTCTTTTGAGAGGGTTCTGTATTCAGAGCAGTGAGCTAAGGATGAGAGATATAAGAAGGCCTAAGACATGGTTCTGGTCCTTGAAGGGGGTCTCTGTTTTCCAGGGGACACAGGAAATAGATGCAAATTCATAGAAGGTTAGAGTTGGAAGGGCCATTAGCAACACCAAGAATAGCTGCCATTTATTTATTAGCTGTGTCGTTTCTTGTCAGCCAGGTATGTAGATCCATTATCCATTTCCTTATTCAGCCCTCAAAACCACCTTGCTATTATTAAACCAATTTTTACAGTTGAGTCACCTGAGGCTTAGAGCTTGCTCAAGGTGCCTCAGTGAGTAAGTGTCAGAGCCTGGATTGAAAGTCAAGGCTGTCTCACTCCCAAAGGGTGCAACCCCCTTGTTTTATAGCCTGAGGCTGACTGCCAAGTGCAAATGAATGGCACAGCTACCACTTCTCTAAGCGGTCAGTTCATTAGAGGACAGACAGGAAGCCAGCCTCCCAGGAGATAAGCCTCACAGGTAAGACAGGGGCAGCCACACATGAGTCCTCTGGGACCCAGGAGAGTAAGACACTCAGACTCAGGCTGAAAAGGAAGAAAAGAGAGCCCCCAAGTTACCTTGAGGAGGGCACATTTGGGGCACAGTGGAGGCTAGGCCAAGGCCAAGCTTGGGTGGCCTAAAGCAACTGACATTTGCCAAGAATCTTCTTGCCAGGGACCATGCTTGAGCAAATACTAAGTACTGACTAAGGTGAATAAATGAGCAAATGAATGCACTGTGGTAAGTGCTGGGGGATAACAATGATTAATAGAGAAGGGGCGGGGCGGGGGGTGGACGCATACACACTTTGCAAACAGAGACCTGGATTTGCATCTGGGCTCTGGCTCTCTTATTTTATGACCTTGGGCAAGTTCTTTACCCTTTCTGTGCCAGTTTCTCATCTGCACTGTAATGGTATTACTTTTTAGGATTATTATTAGCAACAAGATATTATACATAAAGTGCTTGGAGCAGTGGCTGGCACATGATAAGCACACAACATTTGCTGGCTATTGTGTGGAAAATGAGCTTTTGAGAAGCATGGATATTGGGCCTGGTACCTATTTGGCACCCAGAAAGAGGTAACTCTCTTGATTAACAAGGGACAGTTCTCATCCTCAGGGCGACACAGCCACGGGGTAATCCGTCCCTCACTGGATTGAAGGAGCACTGGACCCTGAGCCTGGTTAGCAAATTTTAGGTAACTTAACCATTTACAAAGGGCCTTCATATACCCTGCCCATCTCATGACCCAGATGAGATATAAAGCCACAGAGACTGGATGGCCACTTGCTCCAAAAGATATTTCTGTACAAAGGTGGGGGTTCAAATGGCCAATCTGCCAGGAGCACACTTCTGGGCCAATCCTGGCCCCACAGATGCAGGGATTCACCTCCCCAGGCTTTATGGCCCTTGCAGCTTTGATATTCTGTCTTCTTTTTTGCGCAGATTCATGTATAGATGTTTATAGACCTTTGCAAACCAAGAGGAAAAATGGCACCTCTGGTTAAGGGAAGCTTCAGAGGATGGAGTGGGGAAATAAAAAAAAGGGGTAGGAGGACAGAGCCTCAGCCAGGCAGGTTCAGTGAGCCAGGCTGCCTGGTGGAAGAAGAATGTGAATCTCAAGATACATACTTCCTATTGGTCCTGGCAAGAAAGAGCATAAAATCCATCATGCACACACGAATTATGTCAAATTCCCTTGTCCCATGCAAGTTACTTTGTGGCAAAAGGCCAATCACAGGGATTTCCCATCTCATAGACTATGTTACTTACATAAGGAGTACACTGCTGGCTCCCACCCTGCTGCTCCTAAGCTGGAAGCCCAGCTCGGGGCCTGGACTGAGGCTCAGCAGAAGCCAAGCCAGGCAGGCAATGAAATGGAAGAACCAACAAAGAAGAGATTTCCCCTAAATATATTTCCTTTGTAAGTCAAGACCCCTTGGAGACTTAAGACCCCATACACATGGCCTATAGGTAAGATAAGGGAACTTCAAGCAGTTCTGAAAAGGGAACCTCCTTTTACTAGCATCAGAGTATGGTAAGATGCTCAGAAGCAGAGCCTCAAGATCGAGCTAACTGGAGGCAGACGTGTCCAGGGATCCGAGGCCAGGTGCAGGCTCCAGGAGGCCGCAAACTCACATCTACCACAAAGGTTTTCCTTACTTCTCCCTCAGCCACACAGGCTCCTGGGCCCTCTCACGCTCTCCTTCCCACTGTGAAGCTGACTCCTGATGGTCACATAAGCTCTGGGCACTAAGTCTACTCTCAGTCCCAACCACCTGCCCAGTGAGGGCCCAGAGCAGTCGACCCCCTCTCTGACCTAGGCCTTCCCTCCGTAGCCCTGAAACTGGTTTGGCTGAGGCCAGCTCAGGGTGTGATCCCGAGAAACCTGGGGCTCCTACTGCAATTACATCAGACCTAGGGGTGCAGGACAACTTGTTACTCTGGCAACCCAGAGCCCTGGAGCTGGGCTGGAGGAATCCCAGCTTGATGTGAGGAAAGAAGGCTTTGGATCCAAGTGCCAACTCCTCCCCTTCCCCCTGAGAAGGGAAGGTGGGCAGCTTGGCAGGGGACAAGTGGGTGACCTATCAATGCTGGCAAGAAAACCCACTTTCTAGACCCGGAAGAGATAGTCAGGGGCCATATTTCCTGCAGCAAGGCAATGGGGACTGTTTTTGCTTCCTTTTAATGTAAACTGAATACACAAACACATTAAAAACCCCAGCATGACACAAGAGAGTACACACAGATGTATATATAGATATTTACAGACCCTTGCAAACCAAGAAGAAAAATGGCACCTATGGTTAAGGGAAGGTTCTCTTCCTACCCCAACCCCTGTCCAAAACCAAAGTGCTGAGGCAGCTGCAGGAGCCTTTACAATGGCTTCTGGATGAAACTTAGCAGCAGGCTGGAATGACATCAGAAATCCCCCAAAGCAAAACCAAGATGCCCACTTTCTGGCCCTGGCCCTAATCCTAAGCCCTCCTCCTCGGTGAGCTGACATGCCAAGGATCTGCATGTCTCAGGAAGAGTCAGCGTGACCCTTGAAATTCACATACAATGGGTTCACAGCCCATCCCAGCTTTTTCCAGCCTTGAGCTGAATGAAAAATGAGCTACAACCAATCATGTCCAAGAGAAGAAGGCGAGGAGGAGTGAAGGAAGAGAGGATCCCAAGCAGAGAGATGAGCACTCCCAAGCAGGACACGGGGAATCAATGAGAGGCCAAACCTGGACTCACCCACCAGCCCAGTGCTGGCTAGGAAGGGCACAGTGGGGCTGTGCTGCCACCTGGAGGAGGATGGGAGCACTGCAGCAATGAACCAGGACAGTCCCTGGGGTACCTGGAGATCACCCCTTCTTTCCTTTTCAGTTCCCTGCCCAGGAGCCTCACTGCAGCAGCTCTTCCCAGGAAATGGGCTTGGAGAAGACCTCCCTTTCTAACCAGAGGTCGTAGTTCATCTGGAAGTCCTCAGGGAGGTCTACCCGCTGGCCCAGGACACTCTGCAGACAGTTGTCCACTGGCAGGAAGTCTGGGTTGCTGTGGGCCCGGTCGTAGCGCCGGGCATTGAAGCGTTCAATGTTGGCACGGAGGGCACACTCCTCTGCCTGGAAGTCCCAAGGCCGGGCATCAAGATCTGGGACAAAGCAGGAAGACATGGTTAGAAGCCCAGCTCTTGTGGCAACTCCCCTGGGTTCACCACAGCTTAGGGACAGGCCGGCTAGACTAGGAATGTTGACTGTCAACCGGGAGCAGTAAACCTCCAAGCCTCATGCTCGGGAACACTGACAGGACTTCTTGCCTAGATGGAAAGAAAAGTCAGGTAAAAGGAGAAAAGCCAGATGTACAGAGAAAGAGGCTTACACTGCAGTGGGTGCGGACCCAGCACAGGCACAACATGCTTCTCTGAAAGTTATGCTCCTCCTGGCTCTCTGGGATCAGAGGCAGGAACCTGCAGATCCCCTCATTTGCTTACTCTCTCAATTCCCTGACCAGGTACTGTGTGCCACCCTGGATCTGCACAAATTCAAGGGGCATTGGTAATGCAGACACAGTCACTTGGCCATGGTGCCACAGGCCAGGAACTGCAACAGTGGGCAGCATGCTCAGGGAGCACCGGGAAGAAGAACATACTCTGCCCAGGAGGCTGAGGCGGCTGCCCAGAGGAGGAGAGAGCACCTGTGCAGACACAGGACAGTGAGGGGGTATAGGAGGCACCCTGACAGGAGAAGGAACAGAAGCGGGGGACAACATGGCTAACATGCATGGATTGAGTGCTCTGTGTGCCCACAGCCCTGGGTGTGATGGAGGCTGAGCTGAAGAGAAGCTGGGTCAGATTACAGAAGGGGAGAAGGAGGGAGGATAGTGGGC